AGAGGGGGGGTACACCTGAAGGCTATTTCGCTTATTAGCTGACGAAATTTTACTAATTTCAAACGTACAAGCATTGTAAGGAGTCTTAAATTCAGCAACCAATTAATTTGAGAAAAGTTTCGTTTTCATGGATACGGCGGCCATATTGGATTTTGTTGACTTGTCTTTTGTAATGAATACCGCACTTATTTATTTTAAAAAATTTTTTGCATGCATGCGAGCAAACATTAGATCTAAAAATTTCTTTTGTATGTTTGTCACTCTCTTGTGACCCGTTATTTCCGGGGTACCTTGATAGTCTAAGCAGACTTTGTGCTGTTGAGGCTAGAGAGGTGAGTAGAGTAAGTCTGATTCCCTGTAAGGACTTCTCTGTTGACATCCACCCCTTGGCGCTCATATGACCTTATGCAGTTGCGAGCGCCGGAAAACCTCTACATAAACAATAAAAAGCACACCACAGCACCCACCCGCCGACCACATTTATTTGTGTCGTCTGTCCTTTGTCCCAGTGCTGTGAGTGGGTGGTTGGCGGGTGCTCTGGTGTGGTTTGCTCCTTCTTTCCTATCAAACATCTATAATCCTTATCTCTCCTTCTTATGTTTTATGTTTGTTACTCTCTTGTAACACCTCTAATGTTCTGGCGCTCATATTATGACCTTTTGCAGTTGCGAGCGCCGTAAAACCTCTACTAATAATATAGTGTAAAGCGCATAGAGCCTGCTGTTGAGCGGGGATATGCGCTATACAAATGCTATCTATTATTATTATAATTACTAAACTGGTCGTCTGTCCTTTATCCCAGCTCTGTGGTGTGGCCGAGGCGACAAGTGAAGCGTCCCGTAGGTTGACCCCGTCAAGTGTGCGCCTCTTTAGCGACATCCGTTCAGCAGGGCTGGGCAATGAGTCGCTTTAGCAAAATCCGGATAATATGCTAGTGCATCTCTTCGGCAATTAAACTATCCCCGCGGTTTTATGCACCCCACTTAATTTAGCAAAATTTGATCATGTTTTTGTATAATTCTGATTATTTTCCCTTATCATTCTTTCTTAAAATTAACCGAATCGCATAATTTCACATTTTTGGGCTCAGTTTGCATAATTGTAGAATTTTTCTTGCTTAAAACGACGGGGACAGATTAAATATTTTATGAACCGCTTCTGCAAATGGGTTAGAACCACTTCGACAAACGGGTTAGAACCACTGCAACAAATTATGGGTGCAACCACTTCGACAAACGGGGTTAGGAAAGAGAGTTTATGAGTCTGAATTCGGATAATGTTTCTTTGAGAATTATCCGGTTATCCGGATAGGTTATCAAGATAATTTTTGCCCACCACCACCGTTCAGCAGGGGTGCGCACCCATTTGGGTGACGTAAACCACACTTTTTTCCCCTTCTTTTCTCTCTCCACTTGATCGTGCGTACACTTTGTGAGCAAGTTCCTCCTCGACGTCGCCCTAGCACTTGAAGCAGAAGTAGTTGCCTCATTTAGATCTAGATCTATCTCTCTCTCTCTGTCCACGCGCTTTTACGACGATATTGTTGGTTTTTTCTTTTCTTTGAAGTGTAATCATAAGTAATGTTTTGATTTGTGCGAGCAAGTGAGCGAGCGAGCTTTGGACCTGACCAGGATTATTATGGGATTAAAGGTCGTTCATTCATTCATTCTTTCATCTGAGGCGAGGCAGTCCCCTTTACTTACGTGACCTTTCCGTTTGGAGGAGGAGCGAGTGAATTTCCAAAGGCCTTCCGTCGTCCAGAATGGGGGTGCGTCACTCTCGTGTAAATATTGTTACAACTTGGTGTCCGTGCTACTCGTGTGTGTGTGTGTGTGTGTCTGATGGGTATTCGCTTCTTTGTTTTGTCTGTCTGTCTGTCTGTCTGTCTGTCTGTCTGTCTGTCTGTCTGTCTGTCCGTCCGTCCGTCCGTCCGTCCGTCCGTCCGTCCGTCTCTGTCTATCTATCTATCTA